CCTGGATTTAGGCTGGATTGGAAGCTTTTATTTTTTCTTGTCAGTTTCAAGTCAAGCCTCATTCTACTCCATGGTTTTCTCCTTGTGCGGCTGCTATATCCAATCGTAATCATTTTTTTCATCTTTTTCAAAAGAACAACTCTCTTGAGAACAAACGGCTATTTATTATTGCAAGAAATCGATGTAAAAAGGTGCTTTCTGATGCTAAACTCCATTATTCTCAGTTCACTAAATCTTGTCATATCTCAATTAAACTCGTCTACAGCTTGTGGTCTGGACAACATTCCTGTCACAGTCTTGCAGAATTGTTCTCCAGAACTTTCTTCAATTCTCTCTAAACTATTTAACAAGTCTTTGACTGAGTCTTGTTTTCCTGCTTGTTGGAAAATGGCATCTGTGGTTCCAATATTCAAAAATTCTGGAGAAAATTCTGACCCCTTTATCATCCAATCAGTCTTCTTCTGTTATTAGCAAGGTCTTTGAGTCTTTGAGCAACAAATTCCTCACATCTCATCTTGAGTCAAATAAACTGCTGTAAGATAATCAATACGGTTTACTATCCTCTCGCTCTACGGCCAACTTGCTCACTGCTGTAACTGAAAGATTTTATTGTGTATTAGATGGAGGCGGTGAGGCTAGGGCTATTGCTCTTGACATATCTAAAGCTTTTGACAAAGTTTGGCATGTTGCTCTTCTCCATAAGCTTGCTTCATATGGTGTTTCTGGGAAAGTTTTTGAGATTTTTAAATCATCTCTTTCTAACCGGTTTATTAAAGTCATCCTTGAAGGCCAACACTCTTCTTTATTTCTAGTAACTTCTGGGGTTCCCCAAGGTTCCATCCTGGGCCCTGTTTTGTTTCTTATCTACATAAATGATCTTCCTGACAACTTTTCATCTAAAGTAGTTCTTTTTGCTGGTGACTCAACTTTATACTCCTGTCTTGACAAAAAGTCTTCTCTTTTTGATCGCCTAGAACAAGCAGCTGATCTTGAATCCGATATCTCACTTCAGTAATAGATTGGGGTTCACAGTGGCTTGTGAATTTCAACTCTAACAAAACCCAGTTGTTTACTGCAAACAACTACCATAATATGGTCAACACTCCTATATTAATGAATGGCAATCCTCTTACTGAGTCCTCCTCTTTACGTCTTCTTGGATTATCGCTTACTACTGACCTTTCATGGAAACCATATATACAATCGATTGCTAAATTAGCTTCTGCTGAGGTTGCTTCTCTTTATCGTGCTCGCAATTTCCTTACTTCTGATTCCATTCTCTACCTTTACAAATCTCTTATTTGTCCCTGTATGGAATACTGTTGTCATATTTAGGCTGGTTCTTTTAACGATTCACTTTTTCTTCTTGACAAGGTCCAAAAACGCATTGTAAATGTTGTTGGACCTGGACTATCTGCTAAGCTTGAGCCTCTTTCCCATCGTTGTAAAGCTGCATCTCTTTCTCTTTTCTACAAATACTATCATGGTCACTGCTCAAAGGAGTTATCATCTCTAGTTCCATCAATTAAAATTCATTCTTGTTTTACTTGTCATTCAGCTAAGTCTCATTCGTTTACTGTATCTGTCCCTGCATGCTCTAAAAACTTTTATTCATCTAGTTTTTTTCCCCGCACTTCAATCCTTTTGAAATCTCTCCTATCTTTA